CCCCGATGGGCTGACTGATATGGTACCGTCGTATATCATGTTAGTTGGTACATCGTGACTGGCACGATGGTTCTGGGTCCTGTTGTCCCTCTTGCTGCGCCGGAAATCCTTCAAGTCATTCGGTTCAGTGCTCGGGTCGTGGTGCATGTGATGCCAGAGTAGGTTCCGCCCCTCTGAAGCTTTCCTGTTGTCGTAGCGAGACTTTCCAAGGAGGGTTAACTGGAACCACCTGTCGTACTGACGAGCCAGAGCCTCGAGGGTAGGCACGTCGTCTGGGGCCTCTCCGGGAGTATGTGGTTCGTCGTTGAAGAACGAAAAGACACGGCAATGCGAATCGTATGGGTGGATAGGTGGTGCATGGCTCGGTATGGCCTCAATGTTGCCCCTCCAGGCTATAACACGATCGCTGACGGCCGTGTGATGTTCCTGCTACCAATGAGTTCTTAAAATTCTCTAATTGAGTTCGATATACTCATCAGAACCTCGCCCTCACAGGCCAGATGCTGCCATACCCTTCTCGTCCAATGGGCCTTCCAGGGCCCTATTCCTGAATGCCACCACCGTGTCGAATCCAAACACCTGGATCTGCGATGTGGTGATCAGTGGGAAATCCTTCATATACGCGATCGTACTCACTAAGGTGTACGTCCAGGAGCGAATCTCCGACACGGGCAATTCCCAGTCGTACATGTAGCATGGCGAGGTTATACTGGAATGTGACAAGTCGGTGTTTGTTACTTTGTGGCTCGTCGTAATTACAAATCACGAGCCCTGAGGCAGCCTTTGTTTTGTTTTCGGACGTCTGGCAAACCATAGCAAAGTACGTCCTTCTTCGCCTTATATCAATTGTTGACACTGAGAGCTCTCTCTTAGTTTGACGCAAGTTATCTCTCGGTGCTCGTACGGCAGAATTGTATGCACGCGAAGTACCTCCACTTGCTTGCCTCAGATAAATCTGACTCAGATATTCAGACCAGGATTTCTTCCGCTTCTCGTGGGCTACTATCAAATGGACAACGGTCCTCGGATAATTTTTTTCATCGGGCCTGTGTATATCGAAATCATAGACATCTCCCGCAAATTTGTCGTGACCAGACAAGTCAATACATAGGGTCTTTTTCACTCCAACGAGCTCCTGCGCGCGTATGGCCTTGCATTTTCGTAATGAGTGTGATGCTTACCACTGTGACTTTGAATTTTTGGGCCTTGTTTGTTCGTCTTGTCTGACCTCCATCGGAAGGTTGCACGCCGAGATTCTACTATCTAAGCATTCCAACGGTACGAGACTGAAAGTGCAGCACCTAACGAAATGCTTCGTTTGCTGCGACATAGTCTTCTACTACCGTCGACGAAGGGCTTCACTCACATCTATTCTTCTAGTATCTGTCTAGATCTGGCTCTGTGCAGTCCAGTACAAAATAGATTCACAACGCTTTTGTGTTCCGTGGAAGGACTCATAGATACTGTGTTGCATACCATACACACGGCCGTCAATACGGCAAGCACTCGATTATAGGTCCTCGATTATAGGTCCCCGTACAATGTGATGCCAACAGTGCCTGATTTCCGACAGATGGAAAAAAAAACATGAGCTCAGCCCCCGTATGATAAATTCAATCAGGCGTTCCTTGGTCTTGATATCAGCGGACTGGGATCTATTTGTCATCTCGCAACCCTAGCGTAGTAGCGACTATACCGAGTAGCCTGCTGATCAACAAACGGTGCAAGAGACTGCTTCAAGATACTGCAGAGATTCCGCACAACTTCATTATCAAGTGTTCATGTCGACGACTCCAAAATTGATGGCGGGCAGGGGTAACGGAATTGATCCCACGCATTTAGGGACAAAAATAAGTAGCGGTGATGACCAAATCGAGAAGAGGCCTCAACTACGGCCCGGCATCCTCCGACTTCGTTCCTAGCGATCTTTCCCAGAGCCTTGTCCAATCGCCATCCCTGGGCTGCCCTCATTCTTGGTATTTGTGGACACAATTTGCCGTCATGATTTATCTTTACTCGTCAACAAGATTTCTGATATAAAACATGTTGGGAATAGACGTCGACAGGCACAAGGGACGTGACGGGGATGGCTCGAACAAACTGTATATTCGTGGACTAATACGTCGTGGTGGTGGTACGAAGCCAAAAAACGGTAACGATAGGTATGGAAATCAAAATAAGGTAATACAAAAAATGGCAAAGCCGTCAGCCCTGTGGCTGTGAAACCTATATCCTCAACAAAACGCACCTCAAAGATTTCTGATTTCTGTGATTGACGGTGAGTTTTGAAAAATCTTTTCCTTCTGAAAGAAGAAATCGAATGTGGGTTGTAGATACAATTTGATGTCGCTACTCAACGTTCAATGAGGACATACACATGGGACATCAATATAGAAGATGGCACTCCGAGCAGGGGACTGTGTTCAATGATATGGAACAGTGGAGGAGGCACAGGAGGAGTGATCGCTACGCCAGCCTTTACAAAGGACACGAGACCCATCATCGCTGATGCATATGGTCGGTCTTGTCGGTCTCACTGACAATCCCAACGTTGGCATGTGTGTCCGGCCCAACGTTCATGTAGCCAACGACCCACATCTGTATCACGGGAGATAACCGCCAAGCCTTGAACTCAGTGTTTACTTGCGGATGGTGCATGCTATCGGTCCTGCTTTGCTCTAGGAGAGAACTTACAACAACCTGTGTCAAGATGGCACAGTCGCGCGGAACGTCTGTAACGCGAACCGGATACGGGTCATCAAAAAAACCTCAGCGATCTCGCAACTCCGCTGCGCTCCTTCACACGTCATGCAGATGCACTCCTAGTGCTTCATACTCGTCGTGTCTTCAGTCTAGAGCGATAGCTTGTACTTCATCGTGGCCAGAACTAGTTCAGAGTTCTGTTCATCTCTCCCAGTTTTGTACCCACCGGCCTGCTTGGTTTTGGTAGTCACTACGGAGATGATGTTTCTTACTCCCGCTATCTTCATAGTGAATATTTAATTGTTCTTCTGCCGCCTTGGTGTGCCGTGAATGCAAATTCACGAATCTAGTCGACAGCGCCGCATTGCACAGGTCGCTTGAATATAATGAACCTTATTTCGATTCCTGCGTCCAATGAACGAATCCGACAGCCAAACATCAGGATATGGTGTGTTCGAACAGGGTAGGAATAGGGCCTGTCTATTTTTGAGCTGTTTCCCAGTATTTAGCACATGACCGGAGCATTCCTGTGAAGAGTTCGTCAAGAGGTGGCAGTCATCCTTGGCGCGACGTGATATGCACGTGATCTCAGCATTTCCCTATTCGATCCGAGGCGGTATCAGGTACCACGCTGGCGAAGCATGGACCCTTTTTCATCGCTGGACCCTTCCTCCACCTTCCCCCTTCCTCCAAGCCCCCCCTCCTCTTATCTCACCCTCTCTAGAAGTCGTATTGCTAGAAAATTTCTCCATCTTTCATCAGGTGTGCTTAATTATGACATATCAATTGATGCAACTCGCCTCATGTTCCCGGGTCCATCTTTTCACAGGCGCCTACTTTCTTTCTTTCTTCTCCGACTGTCACGGTCATTGCCTGCGGCTCTGGGATTTATCCCTATCGCTGTTGGAGGGTGTATTAGGTTTCGTGGTCAAGGTGGTTAGTGAGCTGGCAATATGTGCGTCGACCTTCTGTTCCATATTGTGCCTGCTAACCGAGCAGCAGTGCATCATGTCATCAACGGCCTCGTTCGTCGTCCTCGATACCCACCGTCTCTATAAGCTCATCTTCCAGTGACAAGAGGCCGCTCATCGCAGGTGTAACCCTCGCCTCCATCGCCGTCCTCGTCATCGCCATTATTCTCTTCTTCACCTCCCGACGTCGCAAATCCTCCAGGAACGGCTCGGAAGACTACGTCTTCTCCAGACACGCTACGGTCGTCGACCTGCTCCCACATCGCCTCGCGAATAACGCCCTTTGGCGCACCAGGTGGAGAGACGCCACAGTTTGGTGCGTGCTGATCCCGTTGATGGAGCCGTTGGCTGTACTGAGAAGCTTGTGCAGTGCACACGCCGGGATCTAACATGCGTATAGCGAACCGAAGATCAGACGGGGTGTGGACGTTCGCTGACCCTCGCGCGCCGTTCACTCCTCAGGGCGTCGGTGACCTTGCGCCCGCGTCGCCCTGGTCCCGAGATAAGAAGGGTTTCCGCAAGGGCGCCTTCGACGCCTATGAGTTCGAGCCCGACCCGAGCGTGCTGCCACCCCCAGCGTACGCTTACGGAAACGAAGACAGATACCTCAGACAGTGACCGTCCTCCCTCTCATTATAATGAGGACTAATTTATGATTTTTATGGCTGGATTTATTCTCGGATTTAAAATTTCACCTTCGCTTGCATTATCGCTTTCGTTCGCATCTTGCTTTCTTTGTTTTATTTGATTTTACTGATTCATCGCACTGTTCATACCCCACACATATCAGCTTCTTTAAATCAATCCTTTTACTTTGTCGTAATGGAACCACTGTTTATCATGATCTACATGCAAAAACTGTACATGATTGTTGGAAGGAACTGCTTCTTTGCGTCAACACCTAGGAGCCGTCTGTTCGGTTCACTCTGAGCGGGACACCAGACAACGATGTCCGAGCAAGTTATGTTATACCTACAATATTGTCAGGCTTATTTTCTACTGCGGTGAATCCCAAGAAGACGATTGAAGAGCCTCCCTTGTAACCTCTGATTTCGTCACCTCCGCCAGTGCCATGTCATCCATTCTCCTCGGTCCCACATCGTCGTATTCCAGTGTTGATTAAAAGGACGCCGCCGCGTGGCTCGCTGTGTATTCATGAAATGTTTAAGCAAGGTACCAACACCCGCATGCGAAGCCAGACCGTCATATCGTGTAACAAAAACTCTGCTCAGTACCGTATTCTAGCATAAGCTAGACTCGACTGATAACGGCACGAGGTTGAAATGTGCCTTGCTGCCAAGAAAAATGTACAACAGACTAGCTGTCAGGCACTAGCAGGGTTCGAACCTGCGTTGTGGGAAGAAGATTATATAGAACCATGCAATCAAAATCCCAAGTGCTGCCACTACACCATAGTGCCAATGCAAGCAGGGTGTTAAACATAAATATATGCTGTACTACCTTCGCCTTTTTCAAATGTCATGGTCTGGCTAGCCACTATCTATTTTTCAGTGGAATCATTGAAATTCACAAGTACCATGTTTGTTTGGTTGCTGCTCATGTTTTTTTTTCCCCCTGGTGCTCTCCCATTATTTCAAGGTGGTAAGTAAATACTAAATGGACTCAATCCTGGATGAAGATGCAATTAATGATCTTCAAAGATGCATCCATGGGTCATAACTCAAACTGATGGCACTGTCTTCTTTAGCATTTCCTCTCCCAGGATCAGAACAGGAGTGGTGTCAGCAGGATTCAGGACTGGGCAAATTCCCTTTCAGTACAGCTCAGATGTCTGGACTGCTGTTTGTAGTTTGAAGGGGTCAAGCACAAATGCTATGGTCAAATCAAATCTAGTTGCTAGGATGGTAGATTGAGATGTGGTGGTAGAAAATAGAGGGTATAGGTAGTAGGTAGTATGTGTGGGGTGTTATGTGAAAGGGGATAATTGTGTTCGGAATTGGTAATACTATCAATAGTCAGCAATGAGGATGTGGGTTTGGAGTCAATGATAGCTTTTTGTAGTGTACATGAGTGCAGAATAGGTAACAATGCTGGTATTTGAGAGGTGGTTGAGAATAGCTATTTGTTGTGTGAATAGTTGGAAATGGGAATATTGCTGATATCTGAGAATAGGAATTTCATGGATGGGAGTAATACTGATATTTGATCTGTGGTCGAGAATAGCTGTTTTGAGTGTGTGTGTGTTCTGGGAAGGGTAATAGTGCTAGTGATTGAGAATAACAGTTGTGTGTGTGTATGTGTGAAAACAAGGCTGGTAATAGTGCTGGTAGTTGAGAATGGTAATGGTGCTGGTGTTCCAAGAATGGTAATATCAAGATTGGAATAGTGTGGCTGTTTGGGAGATGGCTAAGAATAACTGTTTCAAGTGCATGTGGATCCGAGAATGGTGAATTGTAATAGAGCTGGTGTTCAAGAGTGGTAATATCGAGAATGGAATATTGTGGGTGTTTGGTAATGGTCAAGAATAGCTGTTTGGAGTGCTTGTGGATCCGAGAATGATAATAGTGTTGGAATTCAAGAGTGGTAATATTGAGAATGAGAATAAGGCTTGAGAGAGAAAAGTTAAGTTCTTGTTATCTTTGTAAGGCTTGAAATATTCAGGTCTTGAAATTTGGTGTGGTATGTAATCTGTGGTGTAATCATCATTTCTGTTTCCTACTTCTACTTCACATATTTATACTATTCTACTGTTTGTCCTATGATTTGTACAATTCAGTGTTCAGCTGTGTCAATCCAGTGCTGTTTACACTGGTTTCATCCCATGCACACAGGTTTCCTCCTGCACAAACAAGTTTCATCCTGTGTTTTTACACTGCCTTCAGTCTAAGAATATGCTAGCCTAATCTTATGCACTATTTCTTCCCCTATTTCCCTAATATGTCTGGTTCCAGTCTGACAGCGGCATATTTAAAAGTTGGGATAACAGTGTAAACATACAAGGAAAGCATAATCTACTTCAGTCAGATATTTCATTTAGGAAAATACCGACTAGATATGCCCAGTCAACTCATGCAGGTGCTGAAGGGTGCCTGAATAGACCTAGTTACTATGGTAAGACCCACATGAAAGACAATCCTCAAGAAAGCTCATCAGAACAACATTGGCAGGTCCAGTTTTGCAGCTAGTATGTCTGCCTATCAAGGGTATTCCTGCAACAGATGTTCATTCATTTGCAAGGGAATAAAATGAACTCCTGATTGCCAATACTGGCCTGGTGAGCGATAAATGCTAAGTTGCTGTGATGGGAGTGGAAAGAAGGTTGGACTGATGCACAACCACTGAACTTTTGCTTCTTTCCCAACTGTTCCTACCCCTTGCTTTGGGTAACTCTCCTATCTGGGCTTTACTCTTTCAGAATCAAGTGTCACAATAAACTACTCTGCAAGTTCAAAGCATACTAGCTGCCCACAGAATACTGATTTTCACTGACTTTGCTAGGTTGGACAGACAAACATCATGAAATGTGGGATGTGGTGTCCTCAAGCTAGTCCTTAGCTCTCTATGGGTTCTGCTCCATTACCTGTGCTAGTGTGTGACATGCCAACATGCTTTCCTCCAGAACCAGCAATCACCTTGACCTGTACTAGAATTTATCTTTGGATAGACTTCATTTTATGAAGAGCTTGGTTTGAACAGACTTTCTGGTAGCCAGGTTTGGCTTATCTTCTTCAAATTCTAATGGAAAAAATTCTATGCTAGTAGTGTTACCAGATTTGGCTATTATCCAAACTGATTAGGGTCTGGTTTGGTTGTGGTCCTTTGGGCTCTTGGGATGTTGAATTGACTATGTGTCATTGATCAAATTTTCCAGTGGCACAAATAGGCTACCAACAATGTCTACTCATTGTCTTGGTTATTGGTTTGTTATTGTTATTGCCACTTTGACTAAGGCACAAGTACATAAACCCCTCCTGATAGTTGACAGGGCCTTAATCCCTGCTCCCCCCTCCATGCAATCACATGTAAGAATCATCCCCTCCCATCAATTGGCCCATCTCACCCTTCCAATAGAACATTATTCTTCCATTTTTTGATGAGCTTCTTCATAGCTTGATGCATGCTTCAGCCCACTACAATACTCATATGCTGAGTTTTCACATATCAACCTACAGAATAGTCTGAATCCACCACTACTGTTTGGCAGTTGCATCCAGCCCAGCAAGGGATCTATACATGTGGCACCACCCCCAGTCAACATTGATTGCTGATGAGCCTCCAGGCTCTGTACACTCAGAATTTTGCAGATTTACTGTTAATTCCTACACCTAGTCCACCCAGCAGACTTTCACTAAACCTAGCCTATTGCCAACACAGCAATGCCACTTTTGTATCATGGCAATATGTCTTTGCATATTTGTTATCCATCCCATCTTGAAATCTGACACTTCATGACATTATGGACATGTTAATACCAATTTTGATGGTCCCTCAATTGTATATGGTAATGCCACATCTGCATCAAAGCACCTCACTATGCATCATTGATTGCTAGACCCTATTGACATCACCTATCACCACATTCATCCATCAAAAATATCAACCTATCATGGATACTCCAGAACTACAGTGACTCAAGCTGTTACTTTCACTAAGCTGGCATGTCATTGGAGATACATTTGTCGACCTCAGCAACACTAGCATACCTTTATAATCTGCAGTATATGCAGTTGAAACAGCAGAACATGGTCTGGAAGTCAGACTCCACTGTAGAACATTTTCTAACCAAGCATGGCAATTTAACAATGCTGTATACTTCAGCTGATGGATATAGGTCACATTTATTCAGGATTTTACTCAAGCTCAAGCTTTACAGCCTTAGTAAAAAGTTGCTTGGAATTCTATTAATACATGTAGGACTTTAGTATAAAAATGTAGATTACAGTAGCATTCAGTACTTTTTGACCCCAGTGGGTACACTCTCATTCACCAGACTACACTTGTATTGATTCTCATACATGTCAATCCATTGTACATTGTATTCACCATATGCACCAACAATAAATCAACTAGTCAGATCAGCAAATCTCTACAAATCCATCCATGGTTTCTATAGGATCACCATATGTTTATCCATCATTTCACAGCAATATTCATCTTGCATCACATATAGTTGATTGCACATCAACTTGCAGTATTGCTTGAGTTATTCTACAGTTCTTTAACTGTGAAGAAGATGTTTCCATCCCTCTTTACTCTTAACACTATTGGTACACATCAATATTGTGCCAATACATGATCAACCATGCCATATCTTGCCCCCTGTTTTCTTTATAGGCAGCACCAGTTTTGACTTCACCAGATAGGATTGTTTTATCAGTTTTCACCTTTGCCATCATCATCGTTGCCCACTTGGGTAGTCTCAGAGCAGACTTAGGATCAGTATCAGTATAGGACCAGTTCAGCAATCATTTCAGTATAGGAAATCCCAGTGTGGATTATAGGATAAGTTTTTGACATCAGATAGGATCATTTTCAGCCCAGTACAGTTTGCCCCCAGTTTCCATATCATCTATCCAGTTTTAGGATCAGTTTTGACCAGTTTCAGCACATTGCTCACATTTATTGGATCAACCAGCACATTTATTCCCTGCATCACCAGTCTCTTGATCCATTGCCATATTGTTCAGGCATTTCCTCTCTCATTTCCCCATTCATATTAACGTCTCAAGCATGTTTTCTCAAGTCTCATTCTCAGTTTCCATTTCAGAACATGGTTTCTTGATATTCACATCATATCAGGTGCCATTCCTTCTCATTGTATGAGACCCTCATGACTTACAGTCATTCTTTCAATTCCTCAACTCTCATGTCATATTATCTGCTTGACTGCATAGTCTAAGCATATCTTCACACCCTTAAAGCTTTGATTTACTACATAGAGGTGCCCTGAACCCACTGCACACATGATCATCCTAGTATTGCCATGTTCACACATTTATTCTTCATACTCTGCTAGAGTTTGGTTTTGCCATTGCCATGGAAGTCTAGGACTCATCATTGCTGCAGCCTGTCCCACCCAACATGGGACCTGCATCTCCTCCAATTGTATGTTTCCCTGAGGTTTCTTACTTATTTGACCAATCTTTCCTCAGATAAGTGTCAATCATTATGGCCACCAGAAAATACTGGGTCCACTTGGCCCCCAACACCAATAGCTAAAGAAATCTTTAGGCATTATACATGAAACCCAAGTCAGTCTATTAATTCTTGTACCAGACTCTGCATCCCATTGTAATCATTTAGTCTCTAGGAAATGGCAGTGCTGTTCCAAAACCCAGAGAAACATGGCCACCACCACACAAGAACCAAGACTACTTAGTCTCCAGATGTTGCTTCCTCCTGAAGCAATAGTGCATTGTCTTCCAGATTGACATCAATCCACAGAAAACTTAAGGCAAA